TGGTCCTTTGTAACTTTTTTTTTTTGGTACTGGGATTGAACTCGGGACCTTGTGCTCGCAAGGCAGGCAGTGGAACCACTGAGCTAAATCCCTGGCTGGTCCTTTGTAACTTGAAAAAGAGAAAAAAAATTCTTAAAAATATGCAAGGCTGAATGTGATGGTGCACATCTGTAATCCCAGCACTTGGGAGACTGAGGCAGGAGGAGTGCCATAAGATTCAAGGCCAGACTAGGCTATGTAGAGAGATCTTGTCTAAAAAACAAACAAAAAACCAAAACCAAAACCAAAACCAAAAAAAGACCCCAGAGTGTACTTAATCCAAATCTTTTAAAAATAAAAAAGTATTCTAGAAAGCACAGAATTGAGTGTTTGAAACTTCATTTATAAATTTTTTATGTTAGTTTTCTTGGAGGAATAAGAGAGAGTTAGTGATCTGGTGCTATTGTTCTAAATATTTTTGAACTGTGGAAATTTTTGAGAAGTGATGTGGAGCCTTCCCAGAAAAAATAGTCAAATAACACATAGGTTTGCATTTTGTAATTTGAAGAAAGTCATGGACCCTCTGCAGTCCATCTATTGCATCTATTGTACCCCTATTGAGTTCGTATTGTATCCCTATTGAGTCTATAAGGCTACCCTATTTTAAAACTGGACCAGGGCCGGGGATTTAGCTCAGTGGTTTCGCCACCTGCTGCACAAGCGCAAGGACCCGAATTCGATCTCCAGTACCAAAAAAACAAGACAAAAAAAACCCCTAAAAGTGGACTGGGCCTTGGATAATTATGAGTCTGGGCTGTACTTTGAACATGATCTTTACTCCTGTGACCCTAGTTTATTCAGTTTCAACAGGAGATATACCTTAAGATTTGATTTCTCTGCAGGTCAGTTCCTCACCTTTCAGCATGATCACTAGTCTTGTTTTTTTCAAGCAACAGTTTGACTTTATATTTATCACACATAATTCTAAGTTTTAAAACAGTTACTTTGTGGTAAGTATAACTGTTCCAAAACTTAGAATTATGTGTGATATAAAGTGTTCAAACTCAGCAATTATGAATTTCTAGATAAATTGCTGAGTATGTCATTAACTTCTGCTGGTCATCCTACACATGAATACAAAATAAATACAATTTAGGATTTACAAAGACAAAATGTTGCTTTTTGCTCAGACTTCTGTAGCCCCTTGGGCTATCAAAGCCACTTTCATAGGTTATTAGTGATCTCTACTTGCTAAACCCAATGGTTTGAGGTCATCCTATGCAACTTTTCTGACATTTAGCTTATTAATCACTGCCTCTTTAATGAAACTTTCATCTTTTTATGGCTTCCTTGACCCTACTCTCTTCTAATTGTCTTGCCACCCACTCTGGTCACATCTCAGCTTCCTTCCTTAATCCATCTTCTTTATTAGGTTCACACCAGGATGTTCCCTTGGCCTCTTTCCCATCACTCTATGGTCTCACCCAGGGCAGGCTTACCAAACTTAATCATCATTTAATTGTGAATGGCTCCCTAGACTTCAGTCTTAACCTTTTTTCTAGAACTTGAAATCTATGCATCCAAGTGGAGTACTCCATATCTCATAAATTCCTAAATATTAACATATCCAGTAAAGTGTTAAACCTGTTCTCTCCTTGCATTCCTTATCTCAGTTCATGCCAGCAGCATCTTCCCTGTCATCAGAGCTGGGGTTGGATGTCACATCTCCTTCTGTCCAGTTCCGTGACTGGCTTGAGTTGTTGCATCAACAGTCACATAAAATAGTGCTCAAGAGCAAGGACCCTGGAGCTGGGTTGCTGGGGCTCAAATGTAAGCCTACCACTTACTAGGTGAGAGATCTTGTACAAGATGTTTACCTTCTCTTTCTGAGTTTACTCAGGTCTAAAATGAGGGTAATGACAGCAGCTATCTTCTAGGGTTCTTGTGAAGATTAAATAAATTTGCCTTAGCAAATTGGTTACACCAGGGGACAGAACTAGTAAATTCTTGTTAATAAATTGGTGTTGAGTTTGTCTCCATTTTGGTCCATCTTTCACATAGTGACAGAAACTTTTGAGGGGGTTGTTATTGAGTGCTCAATCAGGGGCCAGGTATTATGTCAAATGGTTTATATGCAGAATCTCATTTAATTCTCAAAATAATCTGCAAGGGAGGAGTCTAATCCCTATTTGACAAACCAGGAAACTGGGGCTTTAAAAGCTAATGTACTTTGCCCAAGGGCACACAGCTTGTAAACTGCAGAGTTGGGATTTTAATTCAAATCTGTTTATTTCTGGAATCAGTGTTCGAAACCAAAAAGCTACACTATATGTACTGCTTTCCTAAATCTGAGTTAGTCACTTAGAGCTTAAACATTTTCAAGATCCCATGTCTATGTTGTTGTGATCAATTCCTTCACAATCTTGTTCCAATTTAACTTCAGTTCCTGCAGCTGCCCTCCGTATGGCCTGCCTTTACCCTCTTTCCTCTTTGCTTCACTTCTTTCCTTCCCTCTTGTTTTCCTTTGTTCCTTCAACACTTATTAAAGGCCTTAGTGCTAAGCACTGTGCTAAACTGTAGAGGAATTTGTCTTCATGGAGCTCATGGTCTGACACAAATTATTGATGACAATGCAGAATAGGATAATGTGGGAGGCAGGCTGGGAAGAGGAAACCAAGCAGGGAAAGTTTCATAAAGGAGACATTTTGCTGCCTCAAAGGATGTTCTGGTCAGATAGCTACTTGTCATTTTAAAAAATAATTTTGACACCTCATTTTTGTCTTTGAGATCTTTTCTCTGTTGAGCGCTGTCTAAGGCTAGATTTCAAAACCATCTCTGATACGGTATCTTTTGTTTTCTGGTCAGCTAGATGTTTGTTTCCTTATACACACCTCAATTATAGCATGTATCATACTGTAGTCTAGCAGTCTACCTCCCTGTCATTTTGACTGGATTGTTATTTCTCCAAGAAAAAGACAATAGAGTCTTATGTATTTTTGAATTGTCCTTCATTCTCAACGTGGTGTAACTGGAATATCAGAGTGCTCAGTAAGGTTTTATTAGGGCTGGGGATTTAGCTCAGTGGGTTCGTCACCTGCTGTGCAGGCGCAAGGACCCAAGTTCAATCCCCGTACCAAAAAAAAAAAAAGGTTTTATTAGAATTTGCTTATACACAGCAGGAGGCCCTTCTGATTCAAACTACAGCTATTCAGATAGCTTGCAGTACCAGACATGATGCTCTGCAGAGAGTAGGTGTTCAAGTATTTGGTGGTCTTTGTCAGTGAAATACTTCAAATGATGCTAGGAATACGGAGAATTCTTTTAAAATCTACTTGTGTGGATAAAGTAAGATTTTCATGTCCATCTGGAGGGCAGAACTCTGGATCAGGCATGAGAAAAATAAATAATTATTGGTTTTAGAGCTCGTATTGAGGAATTTTCTTTTGCCCTGGATTGGGCCCTGATTCTAGATTCTTGTGCACAATTAAGTCACGAAGGTATTCTACATCTGAGACTAGTGTGCCATGGTCTATGAGGGTTGCTACCTAGATCCACCATTCTAGTTCATGTCTGAGTAAAGGCCCAGGAATCACTTGTGGCTGGTCCTGGTACTGTCTTCCTAGACACACCATCCAGTCATTTCCTCTCTGTGGTTGTACCCTCTTCCTGATAGCACAGCCTTCTTTGGCTGTGTCTTTCTCCTGGCAATGTTTACCTCCAGTAGAGAGAGATTTTTAGGGTGGGCAGAAGGATACTATGCTGAGGTAAGAGGAGTCCTTCACTCTCCTATTCCTTCTTCTTGTTTTTGACCCTGATTTCTCTTTTACCTGATGTTGAGGCCTTTGTACAACAAAAGCCAGAAATACGTATAGAACATGCATTTTTTCATCACGGCTCATGTCTCGCCTGAGGAAAGGATTGCAGAACCTGTATTGGCATAAATTAAGGGGAAGGGAAAGGAGAAAAATATATGGAGAGGGAAAAAAGCTCACACTAGAGATGACTATCTCAATAGATTTTCATCTAGTAAATCACAATACTCATCTAGCAAATTTCTGAGTTTCATCAAAATTGTGAGAATTAAAGGACAAAGTACAATTACAAAGTACAAGTAAGTGGCTCAGAACATTGTTTGGGACAGGGAGTGGGGAGAGAGTGGTCAATAAATGTTAGCTATTATATTATCCAGGACTCCTCCACCCAGGGTGGGACCTGAGTTTCTGTCTCAAATAAGGTCCTCCAGGACAACCACCTGGTTCATTCATTCATGGTAGTGCTGACTCGTGTGAGTGATCTCTTCTCCAAGTTTTCCAAGGATAATTCAGCTTGGATGCTGGGCCCATTTCTGGACTCACTGGAGGTGGGCTTGGTTCTATACCTCCATGGGATTCTCTTCTCCGGGTACTGTTTTCTCTCCCACCCCTCAATCCCAAATCCCAGGAAGCTCAGTCACAAGTTCACAAGTACCCTCAATATTGGTTTGGATCCAGGTGTACTTACTCTTTTTTTTTGTTAGTCCTGAGTCTAGACAATTGCATTGACACTCAAAAGCAGCATGCACTTTTTAGCACTGACATCTTTAACTAAATTCAACAAGCATTTATTGAGCACCTGGAGTATGCAAAATATCGTTCCTTTAAATACATTTGGTCCTAAACTATCTGTTTTAACTGCTCATTTTGGATTAATGTTAATCCATCCGTAAGGGTTTCATGAAGAATAAATATTAAAATGAAAAACACATTTGCACAGTTCTCTGCAAATACAAACGTCTTGTGTGGATTATTGTTGCTGCAGTATTAATATTAATTATAATAACAACACTGCTGCTTCGTAGGCAGTCGGTAGCAGCTGCAAGCCAACTGGAGCCAGACGGAAGAGGTCAGGGGAGGTGCCTTCAGCGCGTCCGGCCCAGAAGGGGCGGAGAATGAAGGAATGCAACTAAGCCCCACCCTCGACCCCCGCCCCCATCATCGTACGGCGTAGGAGGTTACCATGGCGATGACGTCTAGGAGGCGGGCGCGAGGCGGGGTGAGGCGGGGCTATGGAGAGGAGGAGGAAGATGGCGGGAGGGCGGCTCTGAGGAGACCTCGGCGGCGGCGGAGGAGGAGAGAAGTGCTTCGCCGCGCCGGGGCCCATGTGGGGAGGAGTCGGAGTAGCTGTTGCCGCCGCCGCCGCCTGTAGCTGCTGGACCCGGGTGGGAGTGAAGGGGAAACGGCAGGATGAAGTTCGCCGAGCACCTCTCCGCGCACATCACTCCCGAGTGGAGGAAGCAATACATCCAGTATGAGGTACTGGCGGCGGCCAGGGTGTGGGAGGACTCGGAGAGGCCACCTTCTCGCCCGTCTTGACTTTCACTGCTGCCTTTGGCTCCTGCTGTCTCCCCACGGACTTTGACCCACTGCCTTGGGGAGCCACTGCGGCATCCCGGCCGCGGCCGGCCCCCAGCGGCCCCGCTGTCTTTCCCCTCCCCCGCAGCCCGCGGCGGCCGGGGTAACGGATGTGCGGGCGGCAGCGGGAGGAAGGGCACAACCCGGCGGAGGCCGGGGCATGGTGGTGGGAGGCTAGCTGCAGGTGGGGGAGTCGCGGTGCGAGGTTAGCCCCGGGCCGCCGCGGTTCCGCGCTAATCCCCTCCTCCCCACTCACCCCGACCTTTCCTACCCACCCTGGGTGAGCGCCCCCTCGCCAAGGTTAGGTCTTGTTTCTTTCTGCTCCCCTCTGAACGCGGATTCGGTCTTCAGAGATAAGCCCGTCCACTAATTTCTTTCATTCCACAGAACCCTTCGGCTTTTTCCCACTAGCTTACTGTTGACAAAGGCTTTTAAACCGGATTGAAACTTGATCGAAATGTACATCACACATGCAAAGGTTATAGTTTACAAACGTATTGATCAGGGATCCTGTTTTAATAAGACAGTGACTTGTCTTTTTAGTGATTGCATGAAGTACACAGAGTAATCACACATCTTTGGTTTTGGCTCAACTGTTGTTTTAGAATGGATGGAAGAAGAAGGGGAGAGAATTATTTAAAATTTGGGGGTTTCTGGCAAGATTTTGTTAGCTAAGGATAAAATTACTATACTGTCAACACTGTACCTCACCTGTGCTTTACAGAGATCTTGGTCCCCCTCCTCAGTTTTTGTGATAACAGCTCCTGGAGGATATTTTACAGTGATAAGTAGCCGTACCTCAGTACAGGGAAAAGTAAAGATAATGAGACTAGAAGGTAAGATACTTGAAGGGCTTTAAGCATTGCAATAGGTAGCTAACAATTCAACTCTCCTGAATAGAGAAAGACGACTTATCTGTAACCTTCAGGAATTCACACCCAAGAACAAAGAGTATAAAATCAATGTGGACACACATACACTAGCTAGATTTTATGAACTAAACTATTTTTGTGGTCTATTTAATTTTTACATAAGTTTAGTGGTAGAATGTTTAATTAAGCAATAGCAGTGAATTTATTTATTCATATAGCCATTATAATAATTGAAGAAGCTTGGGAAAAGAATGAAGGTAGTTAAGTAGAATTTTGAAGATTGTTAAATAAATTTACTTGTAAAATACAAAATTTGATTATTGTCAGAAGTGAATGGCCTATAATTGTTAACGTTTTCTTGTGTTTTGTGGCCACAATTTGTAAGAAAAGGAACATTTCAGCTTGTAGAGTTGATTTATTATTTCTAATAACATTGGATCTATTTTAAAATCTTGGCTAGAGTCCAGATGATGGATTTTATTGAAAGACGGGTGTTGGTCTTTCATCTTTCTAGTAGTAATTTTCAGCACCACTGCCAGTTCTTCATAGAGGCACAAGACAGGAGCATGCCAGAGCACATCTTATTCTTGTTATATAGTGTTGAATGCTTGATTTGGGCAGAAGTAACGGGCTGGATGCATGCTATAATTCATTTTAAGTATTTCAGCACTTTACTGTTTCATAGAATTAATTTGGAATATCTGGGATTGGAAGGGGAAACATAAGATTTAGTTAGAAAATGCATTTACTTGATTTGTAATGTCAGCTTTGTGGCTTGAGTCACTACAGTGACTCTTAGACTCCTCAATCACATAGTCCATTTGGATTCTATTCTTAAATGGTTCCTTTAAGTTGATCACAGAAAGAGAATTTCTTCACTTTTGTGTGAGTGCATTATCTTTCTTGGGCCAATTCTAAATAATTTTTTGAAAAATTTATTTATGGTGGAAAATTAAAATTTGATTCTGTGGATTCCCTACTATGTGACTTCTGTCTGGATAGTTTTTGGTAGGCAAAATTAAATAAGTGACATTTTTGTTTGTAAGTTAGAACCATTAAGGAAATTTTTTAGGCTTGTAATTTTTGTGTTGTGTATTGTTTCTAAAAAGTTGATGGTATTGGGCCAGGGATTTAGCTCAGTGGTTCCAGCACCAGCCTCGAAAGGGCAAGGTCCCAAGTTCGATCAATCCCCGGTAACAAAAACAAAAACAAAACAAAACAAAAAGTTGATGGTATTACTTTAAAATAATAAAGAGACATGAGTAAGAGTGTTTAAGGTTCAGGAATGTTGGCAGCTTAAAAACTTGCGGAAAAAGGACATCCGTGAAAGATTTGTTACCTTTGCTAAAGTAAAAGACCTTATAATGCAATAATATGTACTTTCCTATATATGAAGATGATGGTGTTTTTCAAGCACTGGAGGTGAAATTTTAATATATTATACTTGATTTCTAGCATAGGATGCTTTCTAGTGGTGTGAACCATATGAACTGTCCAGCTTCTTTGCTTTTTATGTCATTTTGCTATATTAAATATTATTTGAATTAAGCAGAGCTTTAGATTGGAGCTGAAATTTTTGTTTACATCTATAATTGTATGGAATATTTAATTATATATACATGCTTACCATGGAATAATGCTAGTTCTTGTATATGCTATCGATGAGACCTGGGTGACAATCTTTTTGCCTTTCCAGAACTCTTTTCTATAAAAAGTGAATATAGATGAATATCAGAGCTTTTCATGATCCATTACAGTTCATGAGTTTTTTATTTAACTTGTAGTGATTTTTATTTCTTGGATTGTTAAAATTATTAATGTTAGTAGCTCATTAATGTTGTTAAAATTATTAGTTTTTAATATATAAATAAGTTGGAAAGTACATGGATTCAGTCTTTATGGGCAGAATAATAAGCATAAAAGATTAAAGAATAGACCATCTTGGAGATATAAAGAAAATCTGTTTGATGCATTTGTGAATACTTTTTATGAAGAATAACACAAATGATAAGAAACTTTTTATTTCTAATTAAACCTCATATAAAGTTGAACAGCAATGTGTCTTTATAAGAATATTTTTAAGGACTGGGGATTTAGCTCAGTGGTTCCACCACCTGCCTCACAAGTGCAAGGTCCTGAGTTCGATCCCCGATACCAACAGAACAAAACAAAAAGAATATTTTTAAATTTATAATTAGTGATTGTATATTTTGGAGCTATATAATAGTTTGATCAAAATTAATTTAGACCAGTGTCATCCAAATAGACTAATGTGACCAATGTTAATATTTCACAGAATATTAGCAAAAGAAGCAAATATACAGAGTTTGCCAAAAATATATATACATCAGGAAATGAAAAGGCTTGTATAACTTTTTTAATATTAAATTTATTGAGACATCATGAGATTATACAAGTTACCTTTAGCTTCTACAGTTAGGTGCTCAAAGTGGTGGCTTTTAGCTTCCAGACATGGAATTGCTGAAGTGTACGTACATTTCTGGTAGACTTTGTATTTAGTGCTTTAGGCTGATGATTTGTGTTTTTTTTCCCTAGGGTTCTGTACATCTTTGGATTTTTAGGAACCAGGAATGATTTTTTTTCAGTGTATGCTGTAGTTTTGTAAGATAGTAAAACAATGAAGTCTCTAAATTACAGGATTTTAGAGCTGAAAGGGAATTTAAAGATTGTCTCTATGTTTTTGCCAGGCAAGGAAAGGCTAAGCCACTTGTTTAGTGTCACACACACACACACACACACACACACACACACAACCTAGTCTCTTGAGCATTGGATATGTAAGCATTAAGAATCAAGTCACACTAGCTGTGTGATCCTCGTGAAATAAATCACTTCCTCATTTTGAAGTTTAAGGTTCTTCATTTGTAATGTTGGAGAACTGCATTTGATGATTTCTAAACTCATAGCCTCATATTATCTAAGAACTCACCTGACTCAATTTCTATGTCTTGTTATGGGTTAATTATGTTTGTTTTATGAAGAGGACAACTTAAAGGACTATTTTTAAAATCATTCTCTTAAATCAGTAATATTTTGAACTGTTGATGTGATTTTGATCTGTGAATGGAAAACTAACCCGAAAAGCTCTTTCATTTAACTTAAATAAATAAAAAGTGGTGGTATTTGGGGGGGGGACCTTTGGGAAAGGAGAGGTGCTGTATAAACTGTACTAAGCTTATTTTCAAGTATAAGGAAACATTACTATAAGATTACTGTGATTTTCATTTATGGAATTCTCCCATGAGAACACTTGTGTTGCAGGATTTAATTTCTCAAAGGTATTATGTTAGGGTTAACTTGCTTTGCTGGAACTTGTTTGAAATTTCTAGGTTGGCCACCCAATGGGGCACAAACCATACTTTTTCTTTAAGGCACTTCTGTAAATGAAAGTACATTATGGGGGACCTCCTGCAGAGGGCTTGGGCTTCTGTGCCAGTTGATGGTGTGTACTCAAATCATGCAAGGACCATTGGAAACTTACACAGCATTTGTAACGAGATTACAACAAACTATTAGGAGACAGATTTCTAATTCCCAGGCAGCAGACATCCTGATCTTACAGCTAGCCTATGAAAATGCTAATATGGATTGCAAACAGGCAATAAATTCTGTTTGTTCCTCTAAAAAAACAAAAAGAAAGTACATTATGGTATATTTAAGGTTTGCTTATAAATGATTTTATTAGTGAGATGCCTGGCATTTACAAATGTTTCTTAAATGAGTGAATGAATGTTGTAGAGACAGGAAGCTATACAACTATTCTTCATTATCTTTGTAAAGTAAAGGGTGAGTATCCTGGTAAGATTATACTTGTCAATCCATCCCTGAAGGTTGGTTTTGGATCCTCTTTTGGATGAAGGCCCAGATCATAAGAACCTGAGTCTTATTTGACCTGGGGTGACCATGTAAAATTGGTCCTGGCTTTAAATTCAGTTCTAATCTGGAAAGCATTTGAGAGGCTGATTGAGTTGTCCTAGCTAGAGGTTTCAGGTGTATTTGAGTTATAGA